TGAGACTTTGTCTCAGGTGACCTAAAAAGTTGACGCTGGACAGACAGACGACGGACGACGGATGCCGCACCATCACATAAGCTCACAAGCCCTTCGGGCAGGTGAGCTAAAACCATTTTCTATGAATGTTTGCACTGATCTATATTCTGGAGACTACATTTGAATAATTAGCTAGCTAAGTGATGATCCCAATCAAGTGATACAAATACATTTCCTCATCTCATGTGTCTTTAAATTCTAATATGTAAATAACAAAAAGTAAAGGTCTTGATAAACAAAACGAACATGGTGTAGCTGTGAAAAATAATGAAATTTCAAATTTGCCTTTTATCCCATATAGCCGTCCCATACTATTATTTAAGACATATCTGAATGTGGAAAAATGACGATCATGTACTTATTTAGCAGGCAAACAATTGTTGTAATTAAAAATTGACATAAGTAGAATTCAGTGTGCGAGGTCTTTGCTACTGTATATCGGGAAATTTTCGCCCAATCAACATTTCGCCCTTGGCACTTGAAATCGTTTTTCATCCAGTCCTAATTTCGCCTTTCACATTCAATTACTATGTATGTTTTGTTGATTACTTATATTTGTTGTAAATTCGCCCTCGTTACAGAGGGCTAAAAGGCGAAAATTAAACTACAGAAAAAAATCCCCTGTATATAGTAGCCATATGTCACTCTTTTCAAAAAAGAACTTTTAAATGCCCATGTCCGATTCGTTTGGCAGAGGCAAAACAAGGCTGTTATTTTCTATGTAGCTAAACAATGTATATATGTAAATGGTAAAAGTAAATTTGATAAGTCAGATGCGTATATTATCAATCAATTGCACTTATGCGAAGACACACTTACAAAATTGGTCCCAATCACATTAAAAAAAAAGGTAAAAGTAAATTGGATAAGTCAGATGCATAGATTATCAATCAATTGCACTTATTGAAAGACACTTAAAAATATTGGTCCCAATCACACCATTAGGTTTGTCGTTACAAATATTGGTCCCAATCACATCATTAGGTTTGTCGTTACAAAATTGGTCCCAATAACATCAAAAAAAGGTAAAAGTAAATTGGATAAGTCAGATGCGTAGATTATCAATCAATTGTACTTATTGAGAGACACACTTACAAATATTGGTCCCAATCACACTATTAGATTTGTCATTACAAATATTGGTCCCAATCACACCATTAGGTTTGTC